GAGGTGGGGGCAGATAAAGCCTTCGACACTACCGACACATACGGAGTTAAAGAAAAAAAGAAAACAAGAAAACAAGAAAAAAGAAAAAATATGTTGATCTATAGGATGTGTTATTTGCTTTGTGGCAATTGGATTGTCTGTGGGATGTGTCATTTCATTTGTTTGACTGATAGGCTTTCTTTCCCTGTCAGGTTTGGTTTCGTCCTCCTTTTCTTTACCTCTTTGCCTTTTGGCTGCGTGCAAGTGGTCCTTGTGACACATGGGGATGGGGCCAGCCAGCGCTCAACGTGTCATCCACGTGGCTGGCCTTGTACGTAAGAGAGGTGGGGCTTTCCTTCCTTCCCTCTTTTCCTTTCCTTGTTTTGCTTTTTTTCGCCTTCGCGCTCTGATTCACAGTGTGACAATATATATATATATATATATATATATATATATATATATATATATATATATATATATATATATTTTTCCATCTGGTGTGGGTGAGTGATAGTCTACTTTGATTTTGGTTAAGGTAGATTATCATTTACAGTGTAATCAGTGAGGGGATTCTGCAGACTGTTGAGGGTTCAGCCTCCTGATGAGTCGGTGAAACTCCGACGAAACAGTTTGTCACAGCCCCTCGTTTGTTGTCCTCTTCTCCCTCTCTGCCTACGGTTTACCGGGCAGTTCTATTTGACGATATATATATATATATATTTCTATTTGTGACGTTTGTGACGATATATATATATTCATATATATATATTCATGTGGGACCAGTCATCCGGGTTTTGTTCGGCCTATGAGAGCTTGAATGGTTTAGGAAAAGGAATGCCAACATCTTGATGACACTACAAACTAAAAGAGCGCACTTTGCGGAACAAAGAATAAAAGCAAAAAACGGGCACAGTGATAACATGCAAAAATAAAAATAAAAATAAAAACAAAAAGAAAAAACAAGGGCAGAACTGCCCGGTAAACCGTAGGCAGAGAGAGAGAAGAGGACAACAAACGAGGGGCTGTGACAAACTTGTTTCGTCGGAGTTTCAGCGACTCATCAGGAGGCTGAACCCTAACAGTCTGCAGAATCCCCTCACTGATTACACTGTTCTGTTTGTGACGATATATATATATATATATATATATATATATATATTTGTGACGATATATATATTTGTTGACGATATATATATATTTGTGACGATATATATATTTGTGACGATATATATAACACAGTTATCTGCAAGGAAGATGAGCAATAGCGAACTCCAGCAATCAAACAGCATCATTCACATAAGACCAGATAGTCGTGACCTCGAACCAAGCGCAGAATTGCATCACGAGTTTCACCAAATAAGAGCACACCAAAAGCTCATAATTGACAATGCTGGAATAGTCTCATCATCAGCAACGAAGAACCAATGTTGATATCCTATCTGACGCTCGGCGCCCAGACTACATGTGGCAGATCCTATCTAGCCTATACTACGAAGCCGAATGATGACATCAACAGCATTCCCGAAGTACGAGCATATGGCGACCAATGTCGCACGCTTCCAGCACCAGCTATGTCTCGCGCTACACTCACAACCTCGTTCCCCAACTCACAGATGCCACTAGCACCCAAGGACCACCCTGCGCTTCACCCAGCATACAGCCGCGCAACTCGGCTATGGCTGCGTGCTCCTTCCCTGCTCGCCCGTGAGAGCGTAGGCGCCAGCCAGCAAATAGCGCAGCAGCAGCGCTTGCGCAGCATGCAGCCAGCACCCGAATGCCGAATGAGGAGGCAGGCCCTTCCCTATATCGAAGTGGCCTGCCTGCGTCCAGTCCAGGAAGCTTCCAGTAGGCTCCGGTAGCCTGAGGCCCAGTCATGAGGAGAGCAGGCCTTGGGCCTGAAGTGGTTGCATGTGCCCAACTGCTTTCGGCCTGTGTTTGGCCTGGTACCCGTATCCAGCCCAGGGCCTGCTTCACGTACATTCACACAGGCGGCCCAGGGCCTGGGTTCACTCAACCAACTGGCGCTGCGCAACTGCCTGAATTTCCCTGAGTTGCGTGGTGGCCAGAAAAGGGCCCTGAGGGCCTCGTCGAGCCTGCCTTCACTTAGGGCGGCCGACGGGCTGCAAAAATGGGGGCCTTATGGGGCTCTTAGAGGCAGTGGCCGCGCATATAGTCAAACAGATATATATTGTCACAAGAGTATCAGAGCGCAAAAGCCAAAAAAAACAGAAGGAAAACAAGGAAAAAATGAATTCGTTTTTTTATCTTCTTCCTTACAACTCCCCGTGTTCAGAACCTCTTGCGTACAAGGCCGCCCACGTGGACGTATGTTGAGCGGCGGGTGCCCCCACCCCCGCGTGTGTCATATCGACCCACTTGCACAGGCAACGAGGCAAAGAAAAGAGCAAGGAAACAGCCGAACACAACAATACAGGGGGAAAAACAAATCCTAGATGACAAGTCCCATATGCAAACACCACCCCCACGTCACAGGCCAAACGGCGGGACAAGACCAACCAGGATATCAAAACACCTTGCCTGCAGAAAAAGGAAATCAATCTATTGCGATTGCCGCTGTCTGTGCTGAAGGATGTCCAACAAAACATAGAAGACAATCCCAGATGACTATTCCCACATAAAACCACCGCCCCCAAAATGCACAGGCCGAACAACGGGAAACAACCAACCAGGATGCCAAAATAAAAAAGAACCTGGATGACTAGTCCCACATGAAAGCACCGCTACGCGTTCCCAAAAAATAGACCGAACAACGGGACAAAACCAACCGGGACACAGACAAAGTTACCTGAACAAATTCTACCATATGGTCCATAATACCCCATATCCATAATGAACAACACCCTTGCCTGCAAAAAAAAACAATCCCAGATAGCAAACCATTCGTGCTCGCCAGCATAGACACCCTATTTTCATGGTTTCGACACATGCTTCGCTGGTCTAAACTGAAATACTGGGACACCACCAATGGCAAAAAAATATAAAGACAATCCCAGATGATGATTCCATATATATAATATATATACCGACAGTCTGTAGAGTTTTCCATCTGGTGTGGGTGAGTGATAGTCTACTTTGATTTTGGTTGAGGTAGATTATCATTTACAGTGTAATCAGTGAGGGGATTCTGCAGACTGTTGAGGGTTCAGCCTCCTGATGAGTCGGTGAAACTCCGACGAAACAGTTTGTCAGAGCCCCTCGTTTGTTGTCCTCTTTTCTCTCTCTGCCTACGGTTTACCGGGCAGTTCTGTTTGTGACGATATATATATATGTTTTGCTGGCTTGTTGCTTGTGATGGGGTGTGAACCGACAGTCTGTACAGTTTTCCATTTGGTGTGGGTGAGTGATATAGTCTGCTTTGATTCTCGTCACACGTGCCTTGAGGGCAGTGGTTGGTGCCCACCTCAGGGTATCAGCCGAGGTTAGGTGGATTATCACTTACAGTGTAATCAGTCAGGGGATTCTGCAGACTGTTGACAGTTCAGCCTCCTGATGATTCGGTGAAACTCCGACGAAACAGTTTGTCACAGCCCCTCGTTTGTTGTCCTCTTCTCCCTCTCTGCGTACGGTTTACCGGGAAGCTCTGTTTGACGATACATACACATAGCCGATATCCTGGTTTGTTTGTTTGTTTGTTTGTTTGTTTGTTTTATTTTTTATTTTATTTTATTTTTTTATTTTTTATTTGAAAGCCCAGTCAATGCAATTACCTCTCAAATCTAGAAAAAAAGCCCTTTCAGGCCTTTCATTATCATTTTAGTATTGTGGGGAAGCTTGTAGCGGCAACCACATCCGTGACCATGCCGCCAATGACGGAACAAGTGGGTGCTGTACCCACCAGCAGGTGGGCGATACGGGCCAGGGGTCAGCCAGTGGTGTCAGGGACCATGCATCTGGACTAATCTCTGCGCCTCCCCTCCAGTACCCTCCCCGTACGAGCACCAGCAGTCGCTGCTTAATGCTGATTGGGAGGCCCAACGGGCGATTGAGCCCATGACCTCTTGATTGACATTTGTGTGCCTTACCAACTGAGCGCTAGGCTGCGGACTTTTCCTTTTTGGATGGGGGGGAAAGGAATAGGGAATGTCCAGCTTGGTGTGGGTGTTTGCAAGCGGCAACAACGAGTCCCCCCATTTTATGAAGGTGGGTAGCACACAAGCCTAGGTCGACGAAGCTAAATTCCACGGCTCGCGAGCCTGCAACTGCGCCTTTTCAAAGTGGCCTTCCGCTTTTGCTACCGCCCGAGGCCCGAATCGAAATGCTCTTCCCGTGTATACCCCGGCAGAGCACTACTTAGGTTCTCATGAACTGGTGGTTACAAACCGCCAGTTCACCCGAAGCAGAGTATGGCTCTTACTGGTTTGCGCGGTAAGCGCTTTTAGATTCGGGCCTGAGCCGGTAGTGAAAGCTGCAGGCCACTTCGGAAAGGGGCGAAGTTGCGGATTCATGAGCCTTGGAATGGTGCTTTGTCAACTTAGGATCGTGTGAACTGGTGGGTTTAAGCCACCACTCTACCCGCCTTCATCAAATTGGGGGACTGGTAATTGCCGCTTGCAAATACCCGCACCAGGCCCGCCGGTTGCTGACGGTTGGCACCCCCCCGAAAAGCCTGCCGAACTTACAGGGAGGGCAATTTTCGGGTGTCGGGTAGAATGGAGGGGAGGCGCAGCGATTGGTCCACTTGGCATGGTCCCTTGTGCTACTGGATGACCCCTGTCTGGTGTGGCGCACCCGACCTTCGCAGGTGACCTACCTGGAAAATCGCTCCGCAAGGCCAGGGATGGGTAATTTTTGATGGCGGAGGTAGTGGTGGTTTAAAAGAATTAGCCTCTAAAAATTTAAAAAGAAGGTTAACCGTTAATGCGTATTTTTTTATGTTGCTCTTTTCTTTTTGTTTTTCTTTTTTTTGAAGTTTAAAAGAGTAGAACCTTTTCTTGAATGACTTTTGATCGCTGTTCTGTGTGTTGCCTGTCCGTTTGGTTGTCTGACACCACTGTTGTCAGGTTCTGTCAGAGCCATCGCACCCCCTTTTGATACCCTCTGCCTCAGATGCCCCTGGCGTTTCCATAGCCATGGCCATGGCCTTTGATAATCCTCTGTGGCGATGGAAGAAGAAGCTCCCCAGGAAGACCAAGTTAACCATCATCAAATACAACTCAGAAATACCGATCAAGGATTTCATTTACCCCACTTCTTCTTCCTCTTCTTCTTCTTCTTCTTCTTTATCTCCTCTTCCTCCTCCTCCTCCTCCTCCTGCTCCTCCTAACACTCTTAGTACTCCTATTCCAGTGTCAAGAAAGAGGGAGAAGACACCCAGGAAGTTAATAAGGAAAGGGAATTTGATCATACAGATTCCCATAGCAGAAGAAGATGGAGAAGATGTGTGCCGGGAGCAATCCGCAAGGAGCAGGAGCAGTCTGTGTCGGCGACCAGCGGCACCAATCACCCATGGTGCCAATTCCTTGTCCCCTACCCCCCCTACCTCCCCTTCCTCCTCCTCCTCCTCATTGAGGTCGGCTGTGGCCATGGCGGGAAAGCGGAATGATCTTCGTCCCAGCGAGCAGCATTCAGTAGTTGAAGAGAAAGCGCTTAGCCGAGACCTAGATCGGCACAAGATGAATGGTTTGGATTCTGACGAAGACGACGCAGACAAAGAACAAGATGTTCATCGCCCATCCGGCAAAGCCACGGGGAGTTCTACTTTGATGAAAGAAGTCTGGTCCAGAGGAAGATGGTGAGAACTACCTGCTGTAGCTTTTATGTGATTTTCAACCATTCGCGCCCCCCCCCCCCCMCYSCCCCCCCAAAAAAGAGGAAATTTTGCGGACTACCAGGCCGCCAGTAGCCAGTTCTTTTGCGGTTTGTGTGTGTGTGTGTGTGTGTGTGTGTGTGTGTTTTCTTTTCTTTTTTCAGTTTTTTTCCCGCTTTTTCCTCCGTTCTCCTCCCTGGAGTGAGGTCCCACTTGTACAGACGGATTAGAAGACGCGGGACCTCCAGCGACGCTACACCACATTGTAAATGTATGTCGTGATCCAGATCCATGCGGACTGACCAAATATTTTGAACGCATCGGGACCACAAAATAAATCCAGTACTTCACTTGGAACGTTCTGTAGTGGAGCGAGGCCCACTCACCCTACGTTAGGTCTTTGTTTGTTTCAATGTATCTACGGATGGTGGAGAGTTCTCTCTCTTTATCTGTTCTGCCGTCTTTCCCCCGAATAGAACGTATCGTAAGGTCATTATTGCTGGCTGTATGTAGACTGAAAGTTGCACCAGACACCGCTATGATGACCGTATGTACGTGAGGTCATTATCGCTGTATGTAGACTGAAAGTTGCACCAGATTCCGCTATAATGACCGTACGTATGTTCTATTCGGGGGAAGACGGTTGTAGGATACCATACCATCGTCTTATCCTTGCCTCTGGCATCTATGGCGTTGCCCCTGAGGTCTTAAACCTCTTGCCCGAAAGTACTCATCATCCTTTTCAGCTGTTTACTTAAACCTCTTGCCTGCCTAGAAGATATCCAGAGGTCGATTCCCACCCGTAGATTACAACAAGCATCAATTCCCTCCCAGGAACACAGAGAGGTCCCGCTTGCTTGTCCGCATTGTGCATTCTGGACTGTGGATTAGAAGGATCGATGGGGCCAGAAACACAGAGCTATCATCCTCCCCAAACGTCGTGTCTGTACCCGATCAGAAAGATACCTGGTAGACATGCATAAGGATGGTACCTAAGGGGGACCCCGCCCCTGGGGTGAGGTCCCCCCTTGCTCGGATTATGCGGTCTGGACCGTACATTATGATGGCCAATGCCTGTCCTTCAGGACATCTGTTAAATTGGAACGATGCAGAGAAGATTAACATGGCCCCTGCACAAGGATGACACACCAATCGAGAAATGGTCCACAAACAAAAGCCAAAAAAAAAAAAAAGACACATCAATCGAGAAATGGTCGACAAACAAAGCCCAAAAAAAAAAAAACAAAAAAAAAAACACCCCAACAACAATGACCCGTTGCCAGGAATAGGGAGCAACAGTCTTCCCCCGAATGCTGATTGGGGGCGTGTTGTATTCGGGTGAAGACGATAGGGGGTGAGGTCCCCCTCCCTCAGATTATTAAATTATTTGTTCCCGTACCAATAGATTACAAGGATGAGAGGCCAGGAATGCAGAATCCGGGTTAAAGGACCAGGACATCGGAGCCTCGTTTTGCCGTGGCGGAGTCCCACTGCATGCCAAGCTTTGCCGAACCACCGGCAGTGCACCATTTTTTCTGTTTTGGCTGGCGCCGCAAGCCTTTTTTGTCCGGTAGCCCCTGAGTGCGCCGAGGTCGCAGATCTCAATTGGATTTTGTTTGGTCTAAAGTTTCGGATTGGCTCAATTTCGATTCTCAAGTCCCTGCCTGGGCGATGTAAACCGCCAGTACACAGCCCCAACCTTGTGGAGAAATCGTTCATCGCCTATGAAATTTCAGAGGCTCGGGGCTACTGGACCACAATGGCTGATGGCACCAGCCAAAAAAGAATAAAAAGTACCTCGCTGGTGGTTCGGAAAAGCTTGGCGCGCAGTCGAAGGCCACCAGGCCCGGGTGTACTGGTGGTTTAAAGGGGGGGGTTCCTCCAGGTGTCTCAAGTCGTTTACTGTTTATACCGAACCTAGAATGGCTTCTTACCCAGTGTAACTCCTCCCCAGTGTCACTCTAACATTGCTGCAACCAAATTTGTGACAGAACAAATAGGACAACAACATTTGATTTCCCCCCCCTCT